CGGGGACACCCTCGAATCCGCGTTTGCACAAACAATTATATCCGCCTATCGTGTTGATGCAGCTGGACGTCTGCTTGTCGCACTTGTCGACTTTTGTTAAGCACTCGTCGATATCTGTACGACACACGCGGTGAGATCGAAGGATGTGTCGGCCAATGGCTTACCGACGCAGATGTTCAACACCTGATTGAAGCTGTAGCCACTGTCGCAAATGCATTGATAGCCGCCGGGTGTGTTTTTGCATTTGCCGTGCGGAAGGCACATGCTGGAGAGGGCGCATTCGTCAACGTCTGTTCAGTCAAAGGGACGTTAAGGCAATGAGAACCTGAAGATCAATCTTAAGACAGTATGGCTTACCTTGACAAGTGTTCGACTTTTTGTCATACATATATCCGGCCAGACAAACGCACGAGTAGAAGCCCTCGTGATTGACGCAAGTAGCTTGCTCAGGGCACGGCGATGTAGCGCATTCATTTATATCTTAAGAATCGATTTCATTGCTTCATTTCATACTCAAATGCATGCACGTCGAAACACGGAGTCCAACAGCTTACTAGTACAGTAAACAACTTGGGATATAAGAAGGCAATAATTATTTATAACTCCTACAAGAATTGCTGTATTTTGAACAAACCGAAATTGTAGAACAAACAACAGAGATTTCGCAGGCTAGCGATTAATTACCATTGCGTGCTTTTCAAGGCCAAGCCATTTGTCTAGTGATAAACGTGGTCTAATGATCCAAGTACTTGTAGGTGTACAATGAGAAACGATAGAAAAGTTTAATGCACCCAGTTATTACAGAACATATGAAAGCTGACATGACAATTATCTTAGAAAGTTTGTCGCATTCCTGACTAGTCATGGTACCGTCATAGTGAGTGACTAGTTAATCACTATCCACAATTACAGTGATACCTGAAGCCTACCATCACAAATAGCTTTAGTTCTGCTAACCTCAAAAGAGTCAGGCAGTGAAACACTGATGAAGGTCTTTTCTGTCGATGAGAGGTATGTTCCGTCCCGACGGTCACCAAATGGGGCAGGGTCTTTACGTTTGTAGGCTCTAAAGCTCCCAATTGCGCAAATGACTGGCGGTAACTACATGCTCTTTGGCCACAGCTCCCTCCATTTAGGAGTTACTGTCGACGAAGAATGTTCTCAAATCACTCTCACCGTTTTTCCTGAAGGATTACCTCCATCACCATCGTCTGTTG